CTGGGGTCGGCACCGCGTCCGAGCTGGCCGACGCGTCGTGCCGTCGGTCTCGTCCGCGCTGGACGTCCCGCGCTGGACGTCCAGCGCGGGACGTCCAGCTGGCCGACGCGCTGGACGTCTCGTCCGCGCCGGACGCCTGCGACCGTCACGAACACCGATCCGGAGTGTATCTGCCGACCCGTGCCTGCGGTCGCTCCCTGTCCCCTGTTCCTGTGTTAATCCTGCACCCCCGGGGGGGGGGGGGCGGAGAGTGGGGAGTTTTCTGCCCCTGTCTTCTAACCCGCTCCTTCGGCGTTCTCAGCACGGCACGCGGGCCCCCCGTCAGCGCGGTGATTGGTTGTTTGCACAGTTCACTTGGAAGTGTAGTGTTTGTTTACTTCCTGTTTGTTTACTTCCGAGTGTTTGTTTACTTCCTGTTTGTTTACTTCCGAGTGGGGGAATTGAGGTGTAGCTATAATCGTACAGTCTCAGATGGAGTTACGAGCAAAGCTGATGTGCAGTCTCGGCCATGCGTATGCGTGGGTGTGCGGCGGTCTGGAATATGCCTTAGCGACAGTGGGCTTGTTGAAGGACGAGGGTGGCAACGGAGCGTGACTGAACCCAGGAGTTGAAAATTCGCTTCCAATAAATTAACCCATACTTTCGGAATCTCATCATGCATGCCACGCCATTGGAATGCCGGGTCATGGTGGCCACGGGCCAAATGGGTTAGCGGGATCAGTTGAGGTGACCAGTCAAAAGTGCATAGTCAGTTGTCAGTTATTGTCAGCAGTCAAACATTCAATCTTTCATGTCTGTACACCTGTATTCGATTTCATTTCTACTTTATGTTAAATATTTTTTTTACTTTATTACGTTGTATATGATGACGTGTTGCGATTTCATTGCACTTCCTACTTTATTACTCGGTTTGTTATGTGATGACATACTGCAATACTTGTCGGTAATGCAGCGGTCTGCTGCCGCAGGTCGGGTCGCTGGTGGCCGGGTTGGATGGTGACGAGTTCCGCGATGCTGTCCTCCGGCTGCTGTTCCACCTGTTCCTGTCGCCTTTCGCCCTGCGGTGTCCGCCGCCTCCGAGATACCGCTTTCGTATCATCGGCGATATCATCAAAAAGGTGCCTGTGGCATGAATGTACAGCAGATGTTGAGCTTGGTGTAAGAATTCGGATATTTGTTGCTTTTGTTGTTTCATCGTTGGATATTCTTCGAATGATTTGCTGGACTTGGAAGCGTGTCAAGGCCATGCAATGCTATGTTGAGGACACTCTGAGGTTAATAGCTAAGAGCTGTCATGATGTCCAACATAATGCGAGAGATGCTAGCTTTTTTTACTCGTCTTCTAGGAAGGTCAGACGTGCAGTGCTTCGGTCGAGCCCGTAAGCCCGCACCGCCGTGTACCTTGTACCTTGGTTGTGATAGTGTGACACCTGCGAGAACATGTCTGCCGCTTGCGCTTGCAGCTGGAGGCCAGCGGGCGGGAGGTACCGGAGCTGGCGTACCACATCCACGGCCAGCTCAGCTCGGCGGCCGACGCCGACCGCACCGACGGCCACGTGGTGTATCAGCTGACCGAGACGGCGGTGGTGGCGCTCTGGGAGGACCGCCGTCTGATGGCGGCCGACACTACGGGCCTGCGCACGTGGCAGGTGAGGGTGGCACCGGCCGACAGACCGGCGCCGCGGCCGACACTACAGGCCTGCGCACGTGGCAGGTGAGGGTGGCACGGGCCGGCAGGGCGGCACCGCGGCCGACACTACAGGCCTGCGCACGTGGCAGGTGAGGGTGGCACGGGCCGACAGACCGGCGCTCCGGCTGACACTACAGGCCTGCGCACGTGGCAGGTGAGGGTGGCACGGGCCGACACTACAGGCCTGCGCACGTGGCATGTGAGGGTGGCACGGGCCGGCAGACCGGCGCCGCGGCCGACACTACGGGCCTGCGCACGTGGCAGGTGAGGGTGGCACGGGCCGGCAGACCGGCGCCGCGGCCGACACTACGGGCCTGCGCACGTGGCAGATGAGGGTGGCACGGGCCGGCAGAGCGGCGCTGCGGCCGACACTGCAGGCCTGCGCACGTGGCAGGTGAGGGTGGCACGGGCCGACACTACGGGCCTGCGCACGTGGCAGGTGAGGGTGGCACGGGCCGGCAGAGCGGCGCCGCGGCCGACACTACGGGCCTGCGCACGTGGCAGGTGAGGGGGCACGGGCCAACAGAGCGGCGCCGCGGCCGACACTGCAGGCCTGCGCACGTGGCAGGTGAGGGTGGCACGGGCCGACACTACGGGCCTGCGCACGTGGCAGGTGAGGGTGGCACGGGCCGGCAGAGCGGCGCTGCGGCCGACACTACAGGCCTGCGCACGCGGCAGGTGAGGGTGGTACGGGCCGGCAGAGCGGCGCCGCGGCCGACACCACAGGCCTGCGCACGTGGCAGGTGAGGGTGGCACCGGCCGACACTACAGGCCTGCGCACGTGGCAGGTGAGGGTGGCACCGGTCGACACTACAGGCCTGCGCACGTGGCAGGTGAGGGTGGCACGGGCCGGCAGAGCGGCGCCGCAGCCGACACTACAGGTCTGCGCACGTGGCAGGTGAGGGTGGCACGGGCCGACACTACGGGCCTGCGCACGTGGCAGGTGAGGGTGGCACCGGCCGACACTACAGGCCTGCGCACGTGGCAGGTGAGGGTGGCACCGGCCGACAGAGCGGCACCGCGGCCAAACAGTCATCGGGATAGTGCGGCCAGTGCTCGACGCTGTCGCAAGCAAGCTGTCGCCGACGGTTGCTTCAATAAGGCTCACATGTGTCTTGTGTGTCGTGTTGTTAACTTGTTGCCGGTCAATGAACTATCTCTTGATATCATCGGTGGCGTATTTTGCTTTTCCAACTGGCCACCAATTGCCCGAGCCAGATGGCGCGCCCCCGGCTGCACCTTCACTCCTGCACCGGCCGGTGGCGCCACTCCCGCACCGGCCGCGCCGTCATGACGCTCGGCGGCGTCCACAGGCGGGCAAAGCGCTGCTGGACTGGTACCTTCTGCGGCCGGAGGCGATCCAGGGCAGGCGGGTGCTCGAGCTGGGGGCCGGCCTCGGCCTGACCGGTCAGTGCTGGCACCGCCGCGCGCCCGGGCACGCCGGCGCACCGCGCCGACGCGCGTGCTCGAGCACAGGCTTGCAGACGCTGACTCAGGCGTGCGATGTGCGCCGAGATACCAGAGCAGCACACGTGTATGTTCGCAATTCAACACGCGTGTGCAGTCAAACGCGCACGCACAGGCACGCACAAATGAACAGTGATTCATGGACGCGAAGGTCGTGCTGTCGGCGGGAATCTGCGCGTCGGTAACCGGAATCAAGTGCTGGCAACTGCTGGACGACGTGATGCTCTTACCCTTGCGTTCATCTGGCCGCTGTTCATGCTTGTGCACGCGCACGCATTCCTGCAGATTCCGGGTAGGGAAAGGCGTGCGACGCCGCGCCCCGAAGTCGCCAGCGCACAAGCCATCACGAGCCGACACACACGCCATCTGTCTGGTGTCGACGAACCCGCCGGCGCGTGCGCGCACCCTCCCAACGGCAGTGTCGCAAGCTGAATACAGCGTCTTGTGGACCATTGCTATCGAGCCTTTCGGCAGCGTTCGCTGCATTACTGCCATGACGCCCGCTGTTCGCTGGCAGTGCAGGAGGGGGGTGGGTGGGGGGGGGGGGGGGGGGGGCGTGAGGGCGGCGCTAGCGGCGAGCGTGCCTGTCTTTTCCGACCACTGCCGCCACCTGACACCCGCCGTCCGGCCGTCGGCAGGTCTGGCGCTGTGCAGGACGTGCTCACCGGCCTCCTACCACGTGACGGACGGCCATCCCCTGGTAGTGGAGGTCAGTGGAGTGGCGCGGTCGCCGCAGGGGGCCAGGGTGGCACGCCTGGGCGCGGCGCCGACGCCTCCGGCGCTGCTACGTCCTGTACTGCACTGGCTGGATATTTATTAACTGCTTCCGGATACTGTCTCGATCACCACTCCTGATCACCACACCTGATCACCACACCTGATCACCACTCATGGATCTATGGTACTGAGCTTAGGTTTCGGTTATTTGTTATCGTTCTCGTTATCGTTATCGTTGTCGATCTATGCCGAGGTCAACGCGTTATGCATGATACATCTGAAGTATCTGTATCTTTTGTTCTCGTGATTGGGATAATTAGATCCGCTTGCAGAAAGTATTCCTAACAATTGAATAATGGACTCCAGAATTTCCAACCATCTTTCATGTTATCCTGGGGTGCATCTGCACCGAGGATCTTCGATTCCGAAGTCTTGCGCAGAGCAATTGCTAACTTTGTGCATAGCTTATGGTGCATTCATAATTTCAGATGCTGAAATACAACGTCCTGAAAAATCTCGAACTCGCGAAGGACGACTTGCCAGTTGTGGACGAGTCGGCGTGCGCGGCGTTTGTCTCCGACGCGCCGGCCAGCGCGCCGCTAAAACCGCGCGGCGGTCCGGCCGACGGTGGCGCCACCTGCGTCGGTGATTTGCGTATGACCTTGGACGGCACGGAGCTGCGCGCCGGCACCCTGGACTGGTTTACCTTCACCGCCGAGGAGGCCGGCGGCCTAGACGTGGATCTGGTGCTCACTGCTGGTGGGTGGCACGGGAACCTGAACGGTCGTGACGACGCTGATGATTGCAGAGATTATTCTTTATGACTGCTCAAGCAAAAGGATCCAATAACACTTGATATTAACATTGATGATGATGATGTCATTATTCTCCCACATTTCGTGCGGTGTCGACGTAACCCCCCCCCCCCTCAAAGTTGAGCGTCTCAGGTCAACAAGGAGGTGACCTACATCCTGGAGCTGCGCTGTCATGTCTCCACAGCACCGACTCCACCTCACTGCTTCATGTGTGACCTACGACCTGAAGCTGCGCCGTCATGTCTCCACAGCACTGACTCCATCTGACTGATTCAGATGTGACCTACAACCCGGAACTACACTGTCATGTCTCCACAGCATTGACTCCATCTGACTGATTCAGATGTGACCTACAACCCGGAACTACACTGTCATGTCTCCACAGCACCGACTCCATCCGACTGCTTCAGATGTGACCTACAACCCGGAACTGCACGAGCCGCTGGTTCGCACGCTGCGGCTGCTGCTGGATCACGTGCGGCGGCCGCCGGAGGTGCTGATGGCGCTGACCGACCGGAACGAGGGCACCACTGCCCGCCTGATGGCCGAGCTAGGTCAGCGACGCGCCTGGCCGACTCGGCCGCCCGGCGCCGAAAATGGCAGCCGACTGGAAGCAGCCGTGCTTGTGCTGTGGTGGCAATCTATTATATATATATATATATATATATATATATATATATATATATATATATGATAATACATATTCAAGAAATTGAATTTATGTTAGTATTGTAAGGCTGGGGTCAAGTGATAACTAATTAGACTATATCATATGTTATATGTGTGAGGTATGCCATGTGTGCAAAAAAACAATGCAGCAAATGTTTTTATATGGAGAAAAAGTGGTTGTAAGACGGACGGTGGTGACCAACAACAAAGTATATCAGAACTTGTGTAAGAGCTGACCACTGCCATCCGGTCGTGCATCTCCAGATCAACGGCAGAATTGGGTGGCGAAGATTTAACGTGTCGCAATGCTCAGCACGGTCCATCAGGCCCTCTGACGCCAGCTAACTTTCAGTGCGGTCACTGTCATTCGTCGCGGGCCGTGCCTCTCAGGGTCATTTAAACAAAGGCAGATGGGAATTGCTGCTTGTTTCATTGTTTGCTGTGGTGTGTTATTGTTACTGACAATTGTTATTGCTACGCGCTATTGACGACCAGCTTTTGTCGCCACCAGCTGTTCAAGGCCTGAAGCCGCGGTTGCTGGCCACGCCAGCCAACAATCAGTCCAGCTTCCTCATGGACGAGGTCTCCAAGGTCAAGATCTTCCAGATCACCCGCATCCCGGATCTGCCGGCCGCCTGACGGACCGGATTATTGGTCACCACCGTCTGACGGACCACACTGTTGGTGTTCACTGTCTGATGCACCAGATTGTTGGTCACCACCATCTAACTGACCGGGCTGTTGGTCACTACTGTCTGACGGACTGCACCGTTGGTCACCATCGCCCGACGCACTGGACTGTTGGTCGCCACCGACTGACGGACCGGACTCTTGGCCACCACCGTCTGACGGACCGGAGTGTTGGTCACCACCGTCTGACGGACCTGACTGTTGGTCACCACCGTCTGACGGACCGTACTGTTGGTCACCACCGTCTCACGGACCGGACTGTTTTTCATCACTGTCTGGTGTACTTTATTGTTGGTCACCACCGTCTGACGGACCGGACTGTTGGTCACCGCCGTCTGACGGACCGGACTGTTGGGCACCACCGTCTGACGGACCGGACTGTTGGGCACTACGGTCTGACGGACCGGATTAATGGTCAGCACCGTCTGACGAACCATACCGTTGGTGTTCACTCTGATGTACCCGATTGTTGGTGACCACCATCTAACGGACCGGGCTGTTGGTCACTACTGTCGACGGAATGCACCGTTGGTCACCATCGCCTGACGCACTGGACTGTTGGTCGCCACCGACTGACGGACCGGACTGTTGGTCACCACCGTCTGATGGACAGGACTGTTAGTCACCTTCGTTTAACGAACCGGACTCTTGGTCACCATCGTCCGACGGGCTGGACTGTTGGTCACCACCGTCTGACGAACTGGACTGTTGGTCACCGCCGTCTGATGAACTGGACTGTTGTTGTCATCACTATCTGGCGTTCTGTCGGACAGCGTTGTTTGATGGACCGGGCTGTTGATATCACTGCCTGGCACGCTAGACTGGCGGTCACTGCCGTCCGATGCAGTAGGCTGTACGTCAGCGCCCGTGTCCGCCCGGTTCTCTCCAGCTGCTTCGCATGGCAACGTGTTGGCCAGATACCTAGCTGGGCACGCGTTTGCTCAATGCTGGTGTTTTGATCGTCTTTACTAGCGCAACAATGGTGCGACTGGCTCTTGGTCACGGCATGTCTCGAATCTGGTGGTGCGACCCTTCCCCTCCCTCCACAAACAAGGATGCTCTTTCTGATATGTATCAGAAACCTGCGGCTAAAACAGTCTTCCCACGATGCGGGCTCTAGTCCCTACAGGGGCGTGTTACGTGGTGTGATGCGTGAGTTAATTTTCAACTCACTTGTGTGAATTATGTTGAGCGTTGGTGGCGTGTTTGCAATGTATTGCATATTAACGGTGCTAAGCTAATGAAAGACGTCACGTGCGTACTTCTGGATTTGTCATCCTGTGTTGCCCAGTAATGAAAAAAAAACTGCATATCAAACAGTTTTTCCAGAACCTGCTGTTTTCATTGCGGCATTACCACAATCTTGATCTGCCCCCGAAGGAGAGAAGCACACATGCCAGCACAGTTGAGTGACTCTACATGATGCTGAAATATTGGCTATTGCATCGGCCACAATTGTCTGCTGGGAGATGCTTCACCTGATGCTGACATACTCCCAAGCATATGTATTATACACGGGTGATTAGTCACAAAATTATCATGTACATATATTTTTGTTATTTATAAATATTATTGTCACATATCGTGCACCAGCAACAATGATCTCCCGCCAAATAGTTGGCCTCATAATCATACTCATACATACATCATACTCCCAAATACTTAACCTCATCGGCCGCTTGGCCGCTAGAACGGCGCAGTAGATAGCAGTCGCCTGCTCAAACTATTCCGCTCCGCCGACGGCTGCGCACGCGTCACTGGAACGGTACGCCGAGAACATTGGCCTGCCTGAGCGCGCGCCGTTGCGGTGGCGCTGGCTTTCGCGTCACTGGGGCGGCGCAGCGAACAGTCGCTTGTCTGGCGCGTCTTGCTACAGAACGAAGGGAGAACCCGCCGTCGTGAGTCAAGGAAGAAACATGTTTGCATCTGCATACTCTAAAAGCGTAAGCTTAGCAGGCTGATAGGACGTGGAAAGACGTGGGATGGTGTGGAGTTGGGTAGATGGCATTAGTAGGCCGAACAATGGGTGGAACCTCCAGGCGTTCGGGGAAGTTCGGCACTGGGCCCTGAGTGCCTACAATCAAACATGGTGCCTATGAAGGCTGTGTGGAAGCGACTCACATTGTCATAGCGTGCCCGTCAATTATCTCGCGCATTCTTCTCTTGGGCGGGCGATTTGAACACGACTACGTTTAAGCCATTTTGTGTGGATTGAGAGCATCTGTGAGCACTCGCCCAGAGGAGGGCAGCTATGTTTTGCTGGCAGCTTTCAAAAAGTTGGGGGATGGACCATTTTCAGTTGTTACATGGACAGCTCTGCTGTCACAGCAGAGCGTGGTAAGCGGGCACGAATTTCAAAAGTCGCACAGTTGAGATGATCGGACACAATTAACGACGGATGGTTACAGTGCAACATTTCATTCACAGGCGTAAGGTGTCGTAGGGATTGATAGCTTTCGCAGTTTGGCAATATTTAGCGTGCATATTGTTCGATGAAAGGTGATGCAGTCTGTTCGATGAGCCACTCACATCATGCAGATATCATTTTGAGGCCGCAGCGTTTTAGTACATGTCCTGAGCTCTGCGTCATTGGTTGTCATGGAAATAAATGTTATGTAACTAGCGCGCAAGAAATGTATCGTTTCAGAAACTGCCCTCAGCAAGGCTAACGACATCCTTAGTCCAGTCTTCAGTCAGCAACTTTTGTCAGTGGCCGTTGATACAGCAGGCCATTTATCATCTGATTCGCTGTTGTATTCTGGAACTTACTCAATTCTCAATGGATAACGGCTGAGGACGTGCAGGCCCGCGCTGAAGTCGATTTCGTAAAGTTGAATGTGTGAGGAAATCGAAAGAGAAGGGCGGGATTTTCAAATGCAGGTTGTTGTATTGTTTGTTATGGCCATGGATTTGCAGTTTTGCTGCTCTTCTGCCTAATTGCATAACATTTGGGCATTGGCTTAGATCATTTTTTGTGGAAATTAAGTTCTCTCATTCATGCTGTCATTAATGATAATTAGTTCCAGTAATTTATGTTGTTCCAGGATCTTCCAGTCTCATTGTGAGATTAGGGTCTTAAAGATCTTCATGCCTAAAAGCTTTCTTTGGAGGCAATATCTGAGACAGTGATGTTGTTTTTGTTTTTTTTAATTGGTTTCATGTATTACAAGATTGCTTCCAGTGCCTCCTTGTATACTGAAAGTTGTAAACTCAGCATAACTTGAACTCTGTCAAAAGTCAGGAGCTGAAGATGTTTCTTTATAAAAATAGTTGCATTATGCACCAGACTTTGTGCATTCAGTGCACACACATATGTGCATGTACATTTAAATTGTTGCTGTGACATCAGGTGTTATGCCTTACATGCTCTGCATAACATGTATTTTTACAGCCTGGTTGGAAAGCCACAGGTACTGTTTAATGATCTGATAATAGCCAAGGTGGGTTGTTTCATATTGGCCCATCCTGATGACTAAATTGGTAAGAATGTCTGCCTTCCAATCCATCCACCTGTATGGTGGGTGCTCTAACCCACACAAGTACCCTTGTCTTTCTTGTCCTAGCTATGATGCCCAAAGATGAAATGTTTTTACTTTTGATGTAATAGTTGATCCTGGTTAACTGCTGTTGTCAAGCAAACATTAGCTATATTGAAAAAAACAAGTTTTCTGGGTTTTTTTGGTCCATGTTAGATTTTGTCTCGAAACATGCTGGACTCTTTGATATCCTCTCCTCTGTTCCCACATCTGGTGAAGTTTGAAAGCTGTTAAGTAGTTTAAGGTAGTTGGTTAGTGGTCCAGGTTGACAAGTTTGATTTGTTGAAAAATTGGAATTGATGGTAACTGAAGCTTAAATGTTAACATTTTTAGGCTTTTGACCTAAATGTGATGATGCATATAACAATCAAAACACCTGTTATGTGTTTCTCTTCTAAAAATGTATCCTGCACCAAATTTTGGGTCAACAATCTGTCCATCATTTGCTCAATTTAGTGTTTTTTGTATGCTCCATGACCACATCATGACATGATATTTTCCAGATTTATATCTTTCATTGTAAGTGATCCTGTTATGATGTAGTCATGGCAGAGAAGAAGATCAGAAAGAGAGGTGGGTAATGTGGAGGAGTCTTTTGTCTGCCATTCACCATGAATCCAAGCAATTACTAGTATTTGCTTTCCAATGATCCAATAGTCAGAATGTTGGTGCTGTTGTATTGGCAAGTGGCTTGTGTCGTTCGACCATGCTCAGTATCACCTGGTTTCATTACCTGTTTAAGTTTCTCACATTAAAACGTAGTCAACCAAGCAACGTTTCCGCACAATGGTGTGGTGTGCTTTATATTTTTTGGAAGCACTGGCAAACCTGTCATTGGCACCTACCATACCAGTGACACCAATCCAGTCATGCCTTCACATGTGACAATGCACATGATGACTGATGGAATACTTGACTGCTGAAATCAAGTAACACCAGGCTTGGGTAATTGCAAATGCTCATCCCTTTACTGCCTTTCCCAAAACAGTTGTGGTAGATAAGCATAGATAAGGAATGCGATATGACTATTACATACCTTCCCTTTGGAGTGATGTCTGGAAATATAGGAACTAGCCACCTATGTCAGCAATCATCAGGCACAGACCATGTTACATTTTCTATGGTTGAAATATCATAATTATCCATGTCCAGTTTCGTTGCCCAGTTTTCATTGCCTATGCTGATCTTCAGGGATACTGTACTTTGCTCCTCTGGTCGTAATAATATTAAGAGATCCCAGTTACGAAACACGGCGCTGACACTCGTGCGTGCCTCCTAAGATTGCGTCAAGCTCTCCAATAAGATCATCGAACGCTGCGAGTTGCCGATCCCCCGCGTCACTAGCATCGATGGCATCCGCTCCAACTTGTTCACCAGCCTGCTGCAGGTGCTCTACCATCGGGTACCCGAAGGTGAGGCTCACAACCCGCATGACGCCTTGTTTGCAGGCCGCTCGGCTATCTCGAGTCATGGCTCCTAAGCTCATGTGTACGGGATGTTCTACATTCTCTTGCGTGATCCGAAGGACGCACGCTGTAAATAGGGCGGTTGAGTAAGGAAAGCTAAGGTCTTTACCAACACACTCACGTCAGTATTCGTAGCAGCTGTCTGTGCTTAGTAGCTGAAGTGAAACGCCATGCCACTCTGGTGCGGGCATGCATGGTCGGTACGCATGCAGGTGTGCATGATGCATCGCTCGGTCTTCTAATCGTGAGCGCTAGCGGGTACGAACGGGATTTTAATGTATCGGGATGTTCCACCTCAGGTGCATTACTGCTCACCGCCACTGCCATCTAGCGGTGACAGGTGTGATTGGCCCGTCGACCGTGGCGCCATCTGTTGCCAGCAAGCGGGACTGCTGACGTAATTACGTCAATGCGTGTTTGCCGTGCGCCGTCCGACCGTGCTGACCGCGTCCCTGTCCCGCCAGGCATCATCGAGACGCCGACCAACACCGAGGAGGAGGTGGCCAACGTGCAGGCGATCATCAACCACCTGGCGCTCGACCTGATCCACATCGATCTCTCGCACATCTCGGGCGCCGACGTCATCGCCGGCGATCCGCGCGCCATCTATAACCTGCTGGAGATCTTCTGCGGCTTGCACAAGTACCTCAGCTCCACGTCCATCGGTGAATGGCGGCGAGTCGTGCCGGGTCCTGCCCTTATGTGGGGAAACAGGGGACTACTCAGACATTGTCCTTCGGTGAAGTTGTGGTGGACTGTTTTGTTTTTATTTGGCCGGATAATTGCGTAGAAGGCTTTAGTTGGCTCTTGTTAGCTCGTATGAGGTTAGCCAAGTGCATGTTGATGAATTTCTCTGCTTTAACTAAGTAAGTGTTAGCGAGCTCCAGCAAGATCGCTGTATAGATCTGACATGGCGTTCTTAAGGCCGTGACCTGCTAACTGAGCTAACGTTTGCAGGCAGCTAGCTAACCTTCCCAGTTAGCCAGCTTACCTTCCTAGTTAGCTAACCTTCCCAGTCAGCTCAGTTGGTAGAAAACTGGACTCGGGCTGAGAAATCCCTGGCTTGAACCCGAGCAATTCCAGGGGGATAGTTGGGATTGTGACTGAAAGCCAAACAACATCCAGTCCTTTAAGGGCTCTGTGACACACGGCGATGGCCGGAGAGGTAACTGGCCGAAACGTTGTGAACATACCGACAGGCCAGACGAGGACAATAGTCCATATAGAGCATGTAGCATGTAGTCCATATAGTCCATATAGTCCATATGGTAGCCCAATAGAGCATGTAGTCCATTCGTGATATTAATGCCTCGTCCTAATCCTTCCATTAAGCTGTAACGCTGTTGTCTCACGCACTGGTATGCATCAGCTTGTTTTTAAGGTGGCAGTGACTGGCGCTGTCCTAAGTATTTGCCAACTGGCTGTGGGAGATCCTTACAGGAGCTTGCCAGTGTTCACCTCCATGGACATGGCGCCTTGTCGGGAAAATGCCAGGGTACATTGACGGTATCAGTCGTCTGCGTGCTGATATCCCCGGGGAACAGTTCTTCTGGGAGGCTTTACGTCTCACCGACTGCGAGGGCTATTTCGAGACGGATGCCTTTTTACCACCGTATTCCGCATTACGCGGAACGCGCAGGTAGCGTGGCAGGGGCTCGGACTGGAGACGACGAGAGGGTCAGGGCCCAGCATCTTAACGACTTTTTAACAATATTTGATCCGAAGTTTTTGAATGGATGGATTTCTGGGATCAGAGCTCAAACTGAACAGGCTGGTGTGGGCCCCGGCTCCCGCCATCCGACCGCGCGATTCCAGGTCAAGGACAGAGTTGGGTGGCGAAAGTTTAACGTTCCGCAATGCTCGGCACGGTGCGTCCTGCCCTTGGACGTCAACTGACCTTTAGCACGAGCGCTGCCACCGACCGCAGGCCGTTTCTGTCGGGGTCAAATAGGGAACACCGAAAACGACCCAACCCAACCCGCCCCGCCACTGGTGGGTAGATCGGGAGGCAGCCGCTCTAGCCACGTGAGCGATCGAGATGAACACCATACCGCAACAGCCCTGTGGTACTTGTAGGCACTTTATTAGCTAACTAAGCGCTAGCTAGGGGGGGTACCTTCTCTGCTCTTAGCTCCTGCAGTCCCAAGGTATAGATCTTATGTAATAATTTCACTGATCTCTTCCTGTTCGAGAAGACGATCCATGAGTTAGAGATCAGCGATCGGAAGCGCCAGTGAAGGATCGGCGGCCCAGTAGCGCTGACTGGTGCCGCGCGCTGTTGTCGCCCAGGACAATGGAACCTGGAGGAGACGCTGACGGAGACGGACAACGAGCTGAGCAGTGCGCCCTCCTCCGACGAGGTGACTACCGACGCCGGCCAGGAGGAGCTCTCAGAGCTGGAGGAGCCATCAGAGCAGGTCAGTCGGAGCTGGAGGAGCCATCAGAGCGGGCCAGTCAGAACTGGAGCAGCCATCAGAGCAGGTCAGGGAGAGAGGGAGAAAGGGACTGACTGATTTAATCAGGTTCCACGCCGGCTACACCTGGTCTGTGTAAGCGCTCTGGCATGTAATGGTATGTCTGGCATACAGGCGCTCCTCCACGTCCAGCCCACGTGCGGAACGGAGGACGGTGAGCGAGTTGTCCTGATGACGTAACGGCACTACCCCCTCGTATGACCTTTTTGTGGTCTGCCACTGCTGCTAGCATTGTCACATTCTTGTCAGTGAACGGATGTCCCTGGTGCGAAGCCGGCTTTGGTCCACTCGCAAGAGACACTCTTTAGTGTTATGCTTAAGTTGTGCTGCTTGGACGTTTTTAGATTTATTTTGTTCGTAGCAAGATACCTGTAGTACCCTCTCCGTTATCAAACTACGCACTCTGCTGAACGTAGCCGCGAAGCAAGTCGAGAAAATGCAGGCAATAATGATGTGCTTTTGGTGGTGGAATGTAGCAGCGGAGGCTAGTACGTGAAGTTACTTTGCCAAGCTCACACATTCAAAGGGGCTCTTAAGCCACTGCCGGCAAGCCTGGGCTGACGGGTGCCCTTTGTGTTGCAGGAGAGTGAGGACCAGCCGCCTCCCTCTGAGGACGGTCTGCCTCCCTCTGAGGACGATCCTCCTCCCTCTGAGGACGCTCCTCCTGCTGGGGAGGACGCCGCGGATCTGGCCGGACTTGATGAAGAGGAGGAGGGCGAGGAGCCAGTCGTGTCACTGTAAGCGTGCGGTCGTTTCGGGTGGGGCGGGGAGGGGTCGGGCCAAGGGGAGGGGGCGGCGCGTGACCTGACCGCAGCCCATGTGGTGAGAGGGAGCCTGACTTCCTCCGCCGTCCCTCGGCTCAATCGAGCGTTCAGCGCACTTCAGGCTTCTCACAATCGCATACGGCAACTATGTAACGATGTGCGGATCGGTTATGCACTACGCAGGTTAGCTGGTTGGTATCGGGCTCGTGGACCAAGGTGTGATGGGATGATCTCAGTAGTCAGGTAATGCTGTGGGGTAGGTGTAAGTGTCGGGCATGCGGGAAATGAGGTTCATCGAAAGGCAAGTTATCATTACCTGCCTCTGTGTAGGTTGTGCTTTTCCCGCCAGCCTTTCGGTGACAGTCATGTTCAAGCTACCGTGGTGGATTAAGCTGAAGTGGTGCAGTGTACAGGGGCGTTGCCAAGGGAAGGGGAGGACATGGATTGTGGACTATGAATCATGGTCCATGGTTCCTCGCAGGTGTCACGGCCTCCAGGGCCATGGACTTCATGAGCAGAGAGGTTTACACTAGATGTTGGGGACTACTACAGGAACTCTGTCCAAACTCGCCGGTGTTCGGAGAAAATTTTACCTCCCAGGAGGAAAGTTGTGGCTTTTTGCCTGTCAGTGTGGAATTTGTGATAGCAGCCTCGACGGATACTGCGGAAGCTACGGTACTTTGGACGAAGGGCTTACAAAAGTCGTTCATTTGTTGTTCATCTGCTGCCGGTCCCCACCGCCTATGGTGGCGAGGTGCGGTCCGATCCCGGCCGTCTCCAGTGGTGAGGTGCGGTCCGATCCTGGCCGTCTCTAGTGGCGAGGTGCGGTCCGGTCCCGGCTGTCTCCAGTGGTGAAGTGCGGTCCGATCCCGGCCGTCTCCAGTGGCGAGGTGCAGTCCGATCCCGGCCGTCTCCAGTGGCGAGGTGCAGTCCGATCCCGGCCGTCTCCAGTGGCGAGGTGCAGTCCGATCCCGGCCGTCTCCAGTGGTGAGATGCAGTCCGATCCCGGCCGTCTCCAGTGGTGAAGTGCGGTCCGATCCCGGCCGTCTCTAGTGGTGAGATGCAGTCCGATCCCGGCCGTCTCCAGTGGCGAGGTGCAGTCCGATCCCGGCCGTCTCCAGTGGCGAGGTGCAGTCCGATCCCGGCCGTCTCCAGTGGTGAGATGCAGTCCGATCCCGGCCGTCTCCAGTGGTGAAGTGCGGTCCGATCCCGGCCGTCTCCAGTGGCGAGGTGCAGTCCGATCCCGGCCGTCTCCAGCGGCGAGGTGCGGTCCGATCCCGACCGTCTCTAGTGGTGAGGTGCGGTCCGATCCCGGCCGTCTTCAGTGGTGAGGTGCGGCCGCGACTACGGTTATGAATGACTTCTGGAACCGGTGACTCGGACTTGCGGTCATTCAGAATTATTCAAATCTATCCAAATCTTGGGAACTTTCGAGTCTTAAAACCGACGATTGGAACCCTGAACAACAGGATTCAAATCCTGAAACGTGCACGAGCTCCTGAAAGCTTCCATTTGGATATGCAGACAAGTACGGTAAATATAGCCCGGGGCTACAATGTTGTGAGGTCAGTTAAACGCACCTTGTATATAGCGGTTCCACATCGGGCTGAATAGCCCGAATTAAAAGTGGCAGTTTTAGTAGGAGTGGTAGGTTATATTTATTCGAATTTCGAATTGGAATCCGAATTCATATCCATGGACCGCAATATTTGAATCCCAAAAGGCTGCGAAAGATCACATCTTGAATGCGTATAAGTGGAAATAGCTTCATTTCATAGAGAGTTTGATGCTTTATTGCCGATGAATATGACGAACCTGTGAAGTCGAGCACAATTGTGCATATTTCGATTATTGCATCACCGCTGCATGCGAAGAGTCAGTGAAAGCAAGGAGCACTGGTGAGTGCTACCGCGCAAATCAGGAAGGCCTACGTTGTGGTCGCGCTCTATGGAGCTGGTCCCTGGTAGCAGGGCAGGGCGCGGTGACAGTTGCTGCCGCCGCTGGGCCTGCCGTCGCCCTTGCCGAGGCTGCCGGGGCAGGCCTGCCGCCGGCACGCCCTGACTGCGCCCCTGCCGAGGGTGCCGGGGCAGGCCTGCCGCCGGCGCGCCCCGACTGCGCCCCTGCCGAGGGCGCCGGGATAGGCCTGCCGCCGGCACGCCCTGACTGCGCCCCTGCCGCCGGCGCGCCCTGACTGCGCCCCTGCCGAGGGCGCCGGGACAGGCCTGCCGCCGGCGCGCCCTAACTGCGCCCCTGCCGAGGGCGCCGGGGCAGGCCTGCCGCCGGCGCGCTCTGACTGCGCCCCTGCCGGGGGCGCCGGGGCAGGCCTGCCGTCGGCTCGCCCTGACTGCGCCCCTGCCGGGGGCAGAGCGGCCGGCCGGTCGCCCGGGGCCAAGTTCGGGTTCCACCGCCGCTCAGTCGGCCCCGACCGGTATGAGCTGCCGGGCGGGAGCGGGCCCCGGTGTTGGACCCGGCCGCCGGGCGCTATCGGCCTGGCCCCGCACGCCGAACTGGCAGAAGCACCGCACCGACTTGTCCTGGCTCGTATTTGTATGATAGCTGACACAGAACGGGTGTCGTTCGTCGGCGAATGGTTAGTGCGGCATCCCGCAGGCAGTGTCCGTCGAAGTGGAGCTGGCTAGTCGACAGAGTGGTGACCGTGGCCGCCGGCGGGGCGCGCACCTGCGCACGGTCGGAGCCGGTACAGCCGGAGCTGGGGCGGCCGGAGCTGGGACGGCGGGGGCCGGGACGGCCGGAGCGGGGACGGCCGGAGCTGGGACGGCCGGAGCCAGGACGGCCGGAGCGGGGACGGCCGGAGCGGGGACGGCCGGAGCCGGGACGGCCGGGACCGGAACGGCCGGAGCCGGGACGGCCGGAGCTGGGACGGCCGGAGCCGGGACGGCCGGAGCTGGGACGGCCGGGGCCGGGATGGCTGGAGCCGGGACGGACGGAGCTGGGTTGGCCGGAGCCGGGACGGTCGGAGCCGGGACGGCCGGAGCTGGGACGGCCGGAGCTGGGACGGCCGGAGCTGGAACGGCCGGGGCTGGGACGGCCGGGGCTGGGACGGCCAGAGCTGAGACGGCCGGGACCGGAACGGCCGGAGCCGGGACGGCCGGGGCCAGGACGGCCAGAGCTGGGACGGCTGGGGCCAGGACGGCCAGAGCTGGGACGGCCGGAGCTGGGACGGCCGGAGCCGGGACGGCCAGAGCTGGGACGGCCGGAGCCGGGACGGACAGAGCTGGGACGGCCAGGGCTGAGACGGCCGGGACCGGAACGGCCGGAGCCGGGACGGCCAGGGCTGAGACGGCCGGGACCGGAACGGCCGGAGCCGGGACGGCCGGGGCCAGGACGGCCGGGGCCAGGACGGCCAGAGCTGGGACGGCCGGGGCCAGGACGGCCAGAGCTGGGACGGCCGGAGCCGGGACGGCCGGAGCCGGGACGGCCAGAGCTGGGACGGCCGGAGCCTGGCATGGGCTCCTGTCGGGAGGGCAGGGCCTGCTCACAATCGGCCTCGGAAGTCGCCGTGTCGGTTTTGTGCCACTACCTCATGTAAGTAGGAGAAGCTAGTGCTAAGTGACAAAGACGTTCAACAATATCATAATGTAAGCATTAGTCATTCCCCAGGTACTCTGAATGTAATTTAGTGATCAAATGTACCTCTTGTGTCTAAAGGCTGTTCTGTACAAGTTTACTGGGTGTTTATAACCGTGCCGTTCCACCGTTCAGTAGAAAGTTTCCACATCTGTTCAGAGGCGGTAACGGCCCTGCCGACATGGCCCTGTCGGTGGACGAGGAGTCCGATGTTTGACCTCTCACTGTCTCAACCCAGATGTATTTCACCAATCGTGATAACATGTCTGTGTACATGTTATCCCGGTGGTGAGCGGGAGTCAGGGAACGGCAGCTGGATAGCACAAGGTGAGCATTTGTTATCTCGCGACTAAGCAGTGCCTTGACTCAAATCTAACATGTTAACCGCTGCGCGTCTGGGAAACCAGAGGAAACCAGAGTTCGACTCCCCGCGGTGCCCGCCCTTCCTGCCAGGGTGAGAGGCAGGCGACGCCATATAGCCTCAGCACTCAGTGCGTCGTAAAACCCCAATGACACACACAGATCTGACACGGTTTCTTATTCGCGACTGAAAAACCAACAGCGTTTGCAGCGCTGTCATCAGCGTCTTCCCTGTGCCGCCAGATCCCGTCAGCTGTCAGCGGCGGCCCGTGCGTCGGGCAGCGGCGCCGGCGTGCGCGCCTCGACCAGCGCCTCGGCGGCCGGCGCCGTCCCGTCCGACGGCGCCGGTGTGGCGCGCGTGCGCTCCAGCGCCGCCTCGCTGGGCGGCGCGCCCGCCGCCGCCAGCTCCGGCGTCGTGAGGGTGCCCTCCTCCGGATCGGCGGCGGGAGTGCCTTCCAGTGGATCGGTGCCAAGAGTGCCATCCAGTGGATCGGCGGCGAGAGTGCCCTCCAGTGGATCAGCAGCGAGAGTGCCTTCCAGCGGATCAGCGGGAAGAGTGCCATCCAGTGACGCGGGAGTGGACAGAGTACCTTCCAGCGGTTCGGCAGCAAGAGTTCCGTCCAGTGGATCAGGGGTGGAGAGAATACCATCTGTTAGCTCTGGAGCGGTTAAAGTACCTTCCAGTGGATCAGCCGCCAGAGTGCCTTCGAGTGGATCCGGAGTGGACAAAGTTCCGTCCAGCGGTTCGGCTGCGAGAATGCCTTCTAGCGGATCAGGGGTGGCTAGAGTGCCCTCCAGCGGGTCAGCAGCAGCGAGGGTCCCCTCCAGTGGCTCTGGAGTGGCCAGGGTGCCCTCAAGCGGCTCTGGAGTGGGCAGGGTGCCCTCCAGCGGCTCGGGCGTGGGCAGGGTTCCCTCCAGCGCCTCGGGAGTGGGCAGGGTTCCTTCCAGCGGCTCGGGAGTGGGTAGGGTGCCCTCCAGCGGCTCGGGCGTGGGCAGGGTTCCTTCCAGCGGCTCTGGAGTGGGCAGGGTGCCCTCAAGCGGCTCGGGAGTGGGCAGGGTGCCCTCCAGCGGATCGGGCGTGGGCAGGGTTCCCTCCAGCGGCTCGGGGGTGGGCAGGGTTCCCTCCATCGGCTCTGGAGTGGGCAGGGTGCCCTCAAGCGGCTCTGGAGTGGGCAGGGTGCCCTCCAGCGGCTCGGGAGTGGGCAGGGTGCCCTCCAGTGGCTCGGGAGTGGGCAGGGTGCCTTCCAGCGGCTCGGGAGTGGGCAGGGTGCCCTCCAGCGGCTCGGGGGTGGGCAGGGTGCCCTCCAGCGGCTCGGGAGTGGGCAAGGTCGGCTCGGCTGGCGCGGCCTCCTTGAAGCAGACGTCGAGCGGCTCCGGTCCGATGCCGGCCAGCTCGGCCACCTCGGCCGGCGCCGAGGCTGAGGCGTCCCTGCTGCCCAGCAGCGAGTCGGGCCCGGCCGCCGCCGCGCGCTCCTCCAGCGGGCGGGTGGGCGCCGCCGGCGCCGCCGGCAGCAGCGGCTCGGGCGCCGTGCGCGCCGGCTCCAGCCACGCCAGCGCCAAGGCCTCCCGTTCCGGGGACGTCGGCGCGGACAGTAAGTGCAGCCGGCTGGCGACAGCCAGCGAGAGGCTATCTGCTGCTCGACTGGAGGCTCGAGCTGCGACGGGGGCTCTTTTGGTCGTGGATTCCAGTCACTTTCGGGTTTGGGACGTTGCTGCTTTGTGAAGGTGTTCTGTATTTGTTGTTTGGTTGCCACTTATGGGGCAGAATCCGTAATCGAGGCACGCGCCTGAACTGCGGATTGTGTGCTGTTGTTTTATCTTTTACAAACTATGTGATAGCTCGTTGCCCTCCCTACTGCACGTAGAGTTGCTGCACGTAGTTAACGTACACTGTAACCTCTCAGGCCCATTGACTTAGATGACGCGTTACGGAGCGGGATCGGGGTGGCGATAGCGTAGTGATAAACGCGTCTGCGTTAACCACCGCGCGTCTGAGCAGCCAGAGGTACGGGGTTCGATACCCTGCGTTGTCCGCCCTTCCCGCCAGGGTAAGAGGCAGGCAACGTCATGTAGCCTCAGCAGCTGAGTGCGTCTGAAAGCCCCATTAACGACGGATCGCGGCACGCATAGCTCCAGATTTCCGAGCGCAGAGGCCTGTTCTCTGCCGGCACTGGGACGACCGGTGTCGACGGGCGTGTGATCCCCGCAGTGGCCGAGTCGGAGTCGTCGGGGGCCGTCGGCTCGCCGCTGCACGCGCCGTCTGGCCCTGGTGGCGAGTTCGCCAACCTGGGGCGCGCCTCAGCCGCGCGGCCCAGCCTGGTGGCGGCGCGGCCCAGCGCCAGCGGTGGCGGCGTCCGCGTCACCGGCAGCATCGACCACCACCACTACCACCACTACGAGGACGGCGGCGAGGGCGAGGACGAGTACGAGTATGAGGACGAGTACGAGGACGAGGGTGAACTGGAGGACGACGACGAGGGCACGGAGGTACGTCGGCGCCTGTTGGGAAGCTGTGGCAATGGCTGTTGGTTCTGGCTGGGGTAGGTATGAGTCACGGGCTCTGTGGTGGTGGTAGTGGTGGTGGCGGCGGCCGTACATCACTGCACGATGAAGGTAGGATAAGTGGCAGTTCGCGCTGGGTATCCGTGCGTGCATAGCGTCGGCTTCGGGTGCTGGTGTGACTGTCTTACCGGGCTGTCCGAACGTCATCATGGTGACGGCGGGATGGCTTTCGCATGTCGGTTGCAGCTGTTTACCAGGTGGGAAGCAAATCTCCACCCTGTTGCACGTGTGGCGTCGGGCACCGGCTTCATTGCCAGTTCACACCGGTGGTGGTAATCGCTTCCTCGACCGTAGACAGCCGCCCAGCGTGGGACGGGGTCGGGGCGCCACGTCTGCCGGCGCGGCGGCCGCCCGGCCGGTCCGGCGCCGCGGCGGACGGGAGGCGGTGCTGGAGGCGGGTCCTGAGGCGGGACGCGTCCTCAGGTGACGGACGAGCCGCCCGCCGCCGGCGGACGCTACTACGGGGACGAGCACGAGGACGAGCAGGATGAGCAGGAGACGAGCGAGCAGACGACACAGGAGGAGGTCGGTCGGCTCGCCTGCCGCCCAGGCCCGCGTCCGCCGCCGGACGGACGCCCGTGGAAAGCTCTGACTGCCCGCGAACCCTGCTTAGTTGATAGCAGACTTTGTGGGAGCTTATCCCTGCACAGACGGAAAGAAACTGACCGTCATTATCATCACCCTTTGTCCGTCCTGATAACCTGTGGCCCACTGGTCAAATATTTGTGCATTCAAATGCGTCCCGCAATGTTCCTCGCCATGTCCCGATCCTGGTAGGGAAGCGGGGAGACGTGTTGTCCTCGCTACCGCCTGTCTGCCCTCCCCTGCTCGCCGGGCGCGTCTCACGATCGTCGCCCTTCTCCCACGCTGTGCCGGCTCCCGGCTGCCGGTGGGACGGGCGGCGTACCGTGCCGGGACGGGCTGGCCAGAGACCGGGCGGCGACGGCCGGCAGACGATGCAGAGCCTGACGGCCGAGGAGGACGCGGCCACCGGCAGCCTGGCTGACACCGAACACGAGGACGAGGACACCGGCCAGGAGGACCTGAGTCGGGAGGACTACCGGGGCGACGAGGACAGCCAGGAGTGCGAGTCGGACGAGGAGGAGGAGGAGGATGAGGACGACGAGGAGGAGGAGGACGCCGGGGTGGACATCAGCCGTCAGCTGAGTGAAGAGCTGCAGCAAGCGCGCGAGTCGGCTGGCGTTCTTTCGCCGGTGGCTAGCGGCGCCAAGGTGGGACGCGCCGGCAGCCGGCGGTGCCAAGGTGGGACGCGCCGGCGGCCAGAGGCGCGCGGCGCTCGGCCCTGCCGCGGCGGGGAGCTGAGCGGCGGCGCTCGCCTGCCGCCTGACAGCCGTCCGCACATGATGTCCACCGACAGGCGGTCCCAGTATGTGCGCCGCTCCCGTGGTGTTGTGGCCAACGTCGTGGCCATGAGATTTAAATGCTGTAGCGATAGATCTTCTCGTCAGAGTTATTTATTTAGGAACGGTTATAGCATAGATTCGAGTAATGGTTCAAATGGCAAATTGCTTGGTACGACGCACGAACAAAGAGAACAGTTAATTCACCGTACAAGTGCGAATGCGTTTGCTACGTTACTTGATTGATGGCTGTCCGCAGGTAATGTTGCGCATTTTAGCTTTGATGACCTTTGCCAGTCTCTCCTGATTACTCTATGGCCGCGCATAGCAAAACCCCTCCCCAAGCTACGCTGTGTGAAGAGGACGTCCATTTGGTCCGTAATGAAGCTAAAAATGCGAAACTAATCACGCGCGTGTTGTAGCGTAAGACGAAAAGAAGGCATTTGGTTTTGAGGTTTGGAATTAAAAAAGAAGATCTTTGCCCGGTCTGTACTCACGCCCGAGGCAATGTTCGCTGTCCAGCCTCTCTCCTCCTCACTGCTCTGCCTCAGCTTTGCTCCTCCCCCTCGCGCCTCTAAATGCAACGTAACCTACTTGACGACCCCTGGTATATCTATGGCCTTATAAGGTGTTTTGCTGCTTAACTGATCAGTTGCGGAACTGGTGCGAAGGTTTAAGCGCGGCCCGCTTTCAGAAGTGCTGTCGACTTCACTGTGCTGTAAGGTGTTGTAACGTTATCGCGTGTGCATTTGTGTGGAGCTAAACGGGTGAGGATCGGAAACGCTTGTGGACGGCGTTCAGGGTTACAAACCTAGCCCGGTAAAATTCGTAGAACACAGAACATTCAGGCCGTTAGTATAACCAAGAAAGGCCTTCAGCTCCTCTTTTCCAGCATTATGAATTCATGTTTCCTATGCTGAGTTATCAACCTTCCATAAGGTATCAAGAGACACTGACTAAATGTAGTCATCTAATTATGGCGTCTTGAAGATCGATAACTCGGCTTAAAAATTCTGAACGTATAGCACTCGGGCGCGATCGGGTTGGTTACAACTGTTGGCCGCAACTGGTCGGTAGTGCAATATCGATCCCCTGTACATATCGATCCCGTTCGTACATATCGATCGATCCCATTATCGTAAGTTGTTCAGTGCATTTGCAGGGAACGTGCACATAAATGAGACGGTAGTAATAGCCTGTTCTGCCGAGAAACGCGGCTACATGTCCATTCTCCTGGTTTTTCTTCGAGGAATAAGGTTATTGGTACTGTCTGATCCCCTGGTCGGATGGATCCGCGATGAAAAACGCACGTAGACGGGCACTTTATTTCTAGAAAAAAATTTGCCCCATTGACCCAGCTTAAGATTCACGGGAGGTTTCACTTGGGAGTGGTGTGGGTGGATCCGCTTCGTTGGGAATTATTTTTTGGTGCAGCCACGGCACTTGTTTCACAAACCTGGGAGGAGGCTGTTTGTCCTGTATCATTGGGAGGCCTGTCGCTTTTTCGCGAGGGTTCTTCGGCTGACGTTGCTGCGTTCCTGTCAGTTCATTGTGTGTGCCTGTCCTTTCATGCTGATGTGAGTATCCAACTGCTGAGGTGGTGAGCAAGTCAATCGCATGCTTAAGCAACATTTCTGCGTCGCTAGTACATCACCATGACATTGGTCCTAGGTGTTATAGCTGTCTGCTTGGTAACGGCCCGGAGAACGTGCTGTGCAGCCCTTGCTCAACTTTTCACGGTATACTAACGTACCTCCGTTAGGGAGGGATATGCGTACACAATGTCGCGTGTTGGACGCTCATTTTCTTCAGGCTTTTGCGTTTTTACGTGTTTTCTACTCTATCTGTTCCTTATGCTCTTTTGTTGTATTCCACTTTCTTGCCTTTTTACATTAGTTGAAAGAAAATCGCTATCGTAATAACATAAATTAATTATCTTTCAATTGTAGTTAATCTCATCAATATCCTTTGTGACACGACTGTTTGGTAAGTTATGCGTGTGCCGAAATGAGGTTTCTTTAGATGCAAAGTAAATGTGAAACCAGTGCTTTTGTGTACGCAAGCAGTGGTGTATGTGATGACCTCGTGACCGAAAACCTTTTCCCTCTCAATCCAGATGAGTCGTCCCAGCGCCACTAAGAGAGAAAGCTTGTTATCGAGACAGTTGGATTCAACGGTATGTGTCCCGACGTAGTGTCATGGCCAGACATAGTCCGGCTATGTATGGCGAAGGAAATTTATGAATGTGTTTCGGAATAAGTGGCATGGCCAGACGTGGCCCCGCCATGTGATTTAGAGAAAGGATGCAACTTGACTCAGTTTGAGGTTGGACTGTCCACGCTTGTGTTCCAAAGCCCGAACTGTCCAGATAGCGAATATATTCCTGTAGATAAAAATGCCACCCGTGGAGAAAATCTGTTACAAAGCTACCAAACTACAGTTTTCGCGGAGCGTGAACTGCTAGACCCGCGAAATATAAGCAGACAGCATACGCCGCAGCGGCTGCGCGACGGCGTTGCCTCGTAGTGGTAATAGGTCTTGTCAACCCCAAGCTCGAGAAGCAACTATGCTTGGCAAGGTGAGCGAATGGTTCATACTACATGGTCATACTATGTTGTATGGTCATTGGTATGGACATGGTCATAAGTCCGTATAAGTGCACGGCTCTGGTCAGATTGCCACCACGGGACCCGCACACCGAGTCGGAGTTTAAGTGTTCACCGGAATGGAGGGCCGGAATGAACACAACCTATCACGGCCTTCGCACTGATCGTAATGAGTAATGACGAGAGTAGACACACAGCAGGCGCAGAGACACAGCACGTGGCGCGGAGACGCCGCACGTGGCGACTCCTAAATGACTCGTGAAAAGCAAGCCCGCAATGAGCAGGGATGTCGTTTAGCAACACGAGTTGGGTAGGGTGGGCTGACCAGTGAGAAATGACCACACCTACGCTCTAAATAAGCGAGAGATGAATGTATCCATGGCTCTAGCTCACCTCTCAGATTTCGGGAGCTGGAGCTGGAATTGGGAAGGGGGGGGGGGCTGACCCCAATGCCCCCGTCCTCCCATCCTCCGTTCTTTATGTTTACCATCGGGTGCAGTATGTGCTGCCGCCATGTTAAATGTTGTCCAGATGTGCGGGTGGTTACTGTTTTCTGCTCCATTCTCCCACCGCCCGCTCCCCCGGGTCATTTCATGCCCTGCGAGGCAATGCACTGTCCTGCCCTACCCCAAACCCAGCCCCAGCCCCAGCCCCAGGCCTAGCCATAGACTCAGCCCTAGCCGCAACCCTAGACCTAGCCTATCCCTAACCCTAGCCCTAGCCGCAGCCCTGGCTCTAGCCCTAGTCGCAGCCCTAGCCCTAGCCCTAGCCCTAGCCCTAGCCCTAGCCCTAACCCTAACCCTAGCCCTAGCCCTAGCCCTAGCCCTAGCCCTAGCCTAGCCTAGCCTAGCCTAGCCTAGCCTAGCCTAGCCTAGCCTAGCCTAGCCTAGCCTAGCCTAGCCTAGCCTAGCCTAGCCTAGCCTAGCCTAGCCTAGCCTAGCCTAGCCTAGCCTAGCCCAGCCCAGCCCAGCCCAGCCCAGCCCTGCCCAGCCCTGTAGTTGTGTACTACCTAATACCTAGGCGCTGATCACATTACGTATGCGACCGACAGTGGTGTAGCCAGGGGGATTTGTGGATGCTGCTTCCGCCCCCCCCCCCCCCTCTCTCTCTGAAGATGACATGGGTTTCCTCGGGCCGAAGGTCGCGCTACTTTTTGAAATGAGAACGCCAGCAAGGTTTTTAAAACATTAAACACTGCTCCTGCCCGTATCAAAATGGGATACCAAGGCTGGAAGGTTTCCGTATCCAAAACAGCGCTGCTATCAGGGGCGACGCAATGGGGGAGTAGAGGGGGCAGTTGCCCCCCCCCCCCCCCCCCCCCCACTTACTTGCTGGCAGGGGGCAATAGTATGTTTGTGGCCCCTCAAAATTTTTAGGAGACCCCTTTTCCCCAACCAAAGGTAAGGTAGCTTCCCGTGGGTAATCAAAAGGAGGTTCAAGGAGGCCCCTTTAACTGAGCCAGATAATAAATCGAACTTAGATCATTTCTTACACCGCGAGACCGTTTGTCTGGACCATAAGGCCACCTTTGTGTATAAAGCGCACCATACTCTAGATTAGAAGGTTCTACGCTATGCCAAGGAAGCCTTTTCGCTGGGTCGGGAGGCCCCGCTACGACCTAGGAATCCCCTGTTCTATGTTAGGGGTACCTTTTATGTTCAGGAAGCCGTACTTCTGGAGCTCACTGAAACTTGAAATGCCATGTTAGGCCGCGTTTCCCTCTATATTCCCGTTTGACCCTTCCAGTCTTGGTTTGCTCCCCGCAATATCAGGGATGCAGTTACACCTATGACCAAGAAAGACAAGGCTCCCCCAAAAACTGTTGACGTACACATGCTGCGCAAAATCGACTGACGTTTATTTCATGGCACTCTGACTCGTTTGGCTCTGCTCCCCTTTACTGATGTCTTCAGCACTCACGTCTAACAGTTAACATGCAATGCTGCTTCTGTGTTTAATATGGACGTGTTTATTATGTGCGCCAACCCCGTGTTTACAACAATAGCTGACTAGATCACATGGAAAACTATTAGAATTTGGCAGCTTTAAAGCACGTGATCCCTGGAGTGGCGTTTTTAAGTTTACAGGAATATAAACGCACCCTGAGCTATGGCTGAGGAGACTAACTGCTTGTTGTGGCCGGCTATAGTTCGCGATGTTCTTGCCGTTACGGATAGGCGGCTGGACGTGACCTTGGCCCCAGTCCCCTGTGCGGTGCCGCCTCCTCATGCCTCGTGCCAGTATCGTCCGCTGTGGGTCGGGTCGAACAAGGTCATAGTCAAGGGCATCGGTGGCTAGGATGGCCCTGAGCCTGACGTTCTCCGCACATGCCGTCCAACCTGACCTGCGCCAGCCTGGGCGCTCCCGGACCGTGACCTGTTGTGACCCCGTGACCGGACTGATTAAGCCTGGTCTGACCCTGAGCTGACCCGACCGTGACCTCTGCCGCCCCTACCTCACCTGACCCTGACTGGGCTCGTCTCTGACCTGGCCCAACTGTGACCTGACCCAGCTCCAACCCAGCCCGCGCCGCACCATGACCTGACGGTGACGCCCGCTGCCCGGCAGCGCTCGGGCGCATCGTCCTCGATGGCGCGTGACGAGCGGCGAGACGACGCCGGCCGGCGCCGCAGCACGTGGGAGGCGGCGATGGCGCGCGGCAGCCGGCGCGACTTCAGCGCGCCCGGCCGCCGGCCGTCGCGGTGCCGCTCCGCCAGCGAGCGCAGCACCACCAGCGAGCCGGCGATCGGCCGGCGCGGGGTGTCGCGCGTGCCGCCGCGCAACATCGAGACCATCGCCGAGGTTGGTCCCGGCAGCGGTCTGTGCCGTTGTGGTCCGTGGTCTGTCTGTGTCTGTGACTGCCGTGGTCCCTGTGGGCAGCGGTCTGTGCCGGTGTGGTCGGTCCGGGCAGCACTCTATGCCAGGGTGGTCTGTGGTCTGTCTGTGTCTGCAGCGGCGGAGGCTGGGCTCGG